CAGGGACACTTTCTCACCCCAGTGCAGCCCAGGGAGACTGACTGTGTCCTTGTGACCTCCAGAACCCGGAGATAAGAAATTATCTTGTTTAAAGCCACGAGGTTTCTGCTCATTTCTTACAGCAGCAATAGGAAACCAACACAGACACTTCTGCTTCCTCTTGCCTAATGCTTGCATCATACATCCTTTCATCGTTTTGCTTTGAACTGATTGGCACCATGTATTAAAGTGAACCTTGCCGCCCTGGCCCAGTGGCTGAGTTTGTCGGAGTGCAGCAAAAGGTGGTGAGTTGAGTTCCGAGTCAGGTCACATACCTACATTGTAGGTTTAATCAGGGTGTGAGTGGAAACTAACAGATTTCTCTTCTCTTCTCATCTCTATTCTCTCTCTCTCTCTCTCTCTCTCTCTCTCTCTCTCTCTCTCTCTCTCTCTCTCTCTCTTAAATTCAATGAAAATGTATCTCCATGGGTGAGCATTAATAATTAAAAAAAGAAATAAAAAAATAAAGTTAACCTCTTGTCAATCAGAAATAGTTGGCTCTAACTTCTTGATTCAGCCCCAAAATCTCTGCCATTGCCCTGGCTGATTTTGCTCAGTGGATAGAGCATTAGCCTTCGGACTGAAGGATCCTGGGTTCGATTCCAGTCAAGGGCACATACCTGGGTTGGAGGCTCAATCCCCAGTTGGGGGCATGCAGGAAGAAGCCAATCAATGATTCTCTCTCATCATTGATGTTTCTATCTCTCTCTCCCGCTCCCTTCCTCTCTGAAATGAATAAAAAATATTTTTTTAAAATCTCTGCCATTTAACTGTGCTTTCAGCATTTACATTTAATGTGATTATCAGCCATGATGTTTTTAGGTGTCCCATATTGTTTGTTGTTTCTGCATGTCACCCCTGTTACTTGCTCTTCTGTTTTCCCTTACTGCTCCTCTTTTTAGTTTTCTTTTTAGTGTTTTTTTTTATTCCATTCTAATGTATTTACTGGTATTCTAATTATAACTGTGTGCATGATGTTTTTTGAAGGGGCTGTGGTAAGTTTTACAATATAGACACCCAATTTCACAAATTCTACACAGAGTTCACATTTTACTTCTTCAAGGAAAATGCAGAAGCCTAACAGCGGTGTAGGTCCTTCTACCCTCACCACTTTATGCTATCGTTGTGACGTGTTACTTCTACATACATTACACATCCCACCAGATCATGCAACTTATTATTTGCTTTCGGCAACCATGCATAGTTTTTTAGACGTTAGAGAAGAAAAATATGCTATAACATTTACTTAGCTATTTATTTAGATAGTTTTGTTCTCTGTTTATTCTTGAATTTCCAAGTGTCCCTCTAGGATATTTTCCTTTCTGCCAGAATAACTTATCACTGCTTTTAAGCACATCTGCTGGCAATAAATTTGCTCAGTGTTCCTTCCTCTGAGAATATTTTGCATCCATTCCTGAAGAATACATCCAGAGGAATTCCAGGTTGACTCCTCTTTTCTCCCAGGACTTTAAAAATCTACCAACCACAATGGTTTCTGATAGGAAACCTGTAATCACTTCAATCATGTTTCTTTTGTATGAAATGTGCCATTTTTCTCTGGACCTTTGCAATTTATTTTTACTAGTTTGACAGTTTGATGATGACCAATATTGCCATGGACATGAAGATATATAACTGGGTTCCTTAAACATGTAAATGTATGACTTTCAGCAAATTTGTGAAATAGCTGATTATTTCCTCAAACCCGTTTTTTCTTCATTGACATCATTGTCCTTTGCTGGGAGATCAATAACATAAATTGTGGCAGGTCCCCGAGTCTGTCTGTGTCCATGTTGAAATCTGGATCACCCCCCACGTGGGTGCTTGCTCAATGCTGGAGATGGAATTCCCAGTGTGAGGGAGGAGACCTGCTTAGGGAAAGAGGGACCCAAAGAAGGAAGCAATGACTCAGAGGTTTCCAAGGAGAGCCATGGAGAAAAAGATGGTGCTGACATACAGAAACAGGAAGTCAGTGAAGGGAAGTGTGTGGGGAAAGTCCACAGTCTCAGTGGGGCCCCGCTTTCCTCCGAGAAATGGAAGTCAGTCTTCTCAGCACCTCACAGGCCTCCCTCTCCCCTGGGGTGGTCCTCCCTGACACCTCCAGACACCAATGAGAGTGGAGCAGCCTTCACTTCCTCATTGAAGCACTTCACAGAGACCATCAACTCACTCCATGGACCCCACTGAGCCCTTCTGAGGAGTGTCCCCCAACCCACCCTCCACAGACTCAAGATGTCTCATCTGTGTCATTCAATCAGCCTTCTTCCTGGTCCTCCAATCCAGGCACCACCCCTTCTCCACTCCTCTCCTCTGCCCACCTCCTGAGGACCCTTCCTATAGCCCCATCTGGTCTGAGCCTGCCTGCTGCACCCCTTCACCAGTTTCCACCTTCAAAAGAGATCCAAGTTACACATCTGATATTCAAGGCTATGAATGGTCAGGTTGAGCTAAACTCACCAGCCCCAGCAAACACGACTCTCCCTCCACAACCTAACTCACCCAGTAACCCACACTCCCCTCCACACCAAACCATACTCAGCAACTGCGCTGTTTACAAATTCTGTGCAGTTGGGTGAATCAGTTGGTTAGAGCGTCATCCCGATATGCCAAGGTGGCAAGTTCAATCCCTGGTAAGACCACATACAAGAATCAAGCAACGAATGCATAAATAAGTGGAACAACAATTCTCTCTCTCCCCCTCTCTCTCTTTCTCCTTTCCAACCTGCAGGACCAAGACCCATCCTGTCTCATCTGACTCAACTGAAAATGGACTTCGTGTTAAAGGTTTTTGTAAGAGTTATACACAAAAACCACATCAGTAACTTAAGATACTGACCAACAGACCATCCAGGGGCCAGGTGAACGTTGGAATTTTATTATCAATAGCATTAACAATCAATAGAGCCATTCTGCATGGCATTTTCATATCGTGGTTGCCTTTTTAAATCAGAAATCTTTTCATACAATATGTTGATTTAAATTTATCCCATTGACTTGGAGCTAAAAAATCCCAAATATTTGTGTGGTTCACTAGACCTGTGTAACTTGCTTGAGCCTTCGCCTGACCGCTCTCACTTCTGACCACAGCTCAAGATCTTTCTGGTCCAAGACAACCCCCGGCCCAGCCCACCACCTCTGGGCTTCTCCCTGCTCATGCCGTGGTCAGTCCATGCCTGAGAAGGACCCCCCTCAGCCAGGATCCATGATGCATGGCATCTACCTGTCATTGAACCTCATTATCGCATTTCCTTTACACTCCCAACGGGTACATGAGACGGTAACTGAACTCTTTGCTGTCTAAATATAACATCTGCTTCATTCCTCTCACCCCCATGAGTCCAGGGAAAGGATCCCCTGATCTTCAGGTACTCTGGTGCCTGGGCAGTGACAGCCCAGGGTTACTGCTCAGTAATACTAACGGATCGCCTGGGCAATGATGAGCAAAGGTTATTGCTCAGTAAGTACTGCTTGATAGCCTAGCCAGTGATGGCTCAGGGTTACTTCTCAGTGATGGCCCAGGGTTACTGCTCAGTAATACTGCCTGATAGTGGGAAAAGCCTGGCCAGTGAAAAAAGGGAAGAGAATTGCACTGACAGAGGCTCAGGAAAGGGAAGTGTCCTACACAAGCTCACAGAGGGATTTAGAAAAGGCAGAGTCAGAATTGGGCCAGAAACTGGGTGGGGTCCTCTCCTGCCCTCTTCCTCCACCCTCCTCACCTGGGAAGGCTGTCTCCCTCTGGATTTGGGTTTGGCATGAGGTGAAGGCAGAGCCTGTGGGGTCTGGTGAGATTCAGGTCAGTCTCAAAGGTCCCACAGCTTGCTGTCCCCTAAGGCCCACCCTGCGGGTGGGGGGGGGGGGGAAGAAGGGGGAACTTCCCTTCCTGTGAGGCCACTGATGAGGAACCAGTGACGTATCACTTGAGGACTGGACCTTGTCACGCCCATTCTTGCCTTTGTTCCCAGACTCTGTGGAGTTTATGTCATCTACACATTGGGACCATGTGAGGAAGCACCCTGACCCAGAGCCTGCTGCCCTTCTGAGCCTCGGTGAGCTCCAGGGGAAGGGGTGGGGAAGACACAGCTCGTGGCCATCACTGGGCTGACGGAATGGTGAAGGGAAGGGAGAAAACGTGCATGTGTAGAGTCTCTGAAAAGAGAAGGGAACTCCCAAGTTCACACAGACTCTGTGAGAGGCAGGAACTGGTGGTTCCTTCTGCTCTACCCTGAGCCCTGCACCTTTGGGTACTGGGACCAGGGTCACCCTCTGGATTGGGGTTGGACAGGAGTTGGAGGCAGAGCTCGGGGGGTTCTGCTAAGAATCAGATCTGGTCCTGAAGGTCCTTGGACCTGCTGTGTCCTCAGTCATCCTTCAGGGAGAGCAGAGTGAGGCTGATGAGGAAACAGGGACCTGTCACCTGGAGCCGGGGCCCTGTCACATCCATACATCTGCTTGTCCTGCTCACCTCTGTGGACTTTATCTGTCACCAGTGCCGCTGAGGACCATGGAAGACAGCACCACAGCCTTGACCTCCATTGTCCTCCTGGGCCTTGGTGAGTTGGTGGGGAAGTGGGGAGGGCACCCATGGTCCTGGCCTTGTGAGACCCCAGGACCCAGGAGGCTCAATGGTTACTGGACTCCTCAGGGAGGAGACATGCTCAGCCCCAGGTCTGTCCCCACTGCTCAGGGGCTCACACCAGGCCTGGAGCTTCTATGTGTGCTTGGGGATGGTTCTCACAGGGTCTCTCTTCCAGGGCTGTGTCAGGGCCCATGGAACCAGGTACAGGCAGGTGAGTCTACCCCCCACCCCCCTGACCTCCTGCTTCAGCACAGTCACCGTCTGGGCAGCTGGGGAGACACGGGGTTTGGAATAAAGGTGGCCAATATGGGGGGACCTGGAAGTGATAGCTGGGGAAAGTGGGGAGAAGGACATCCCAGACATTTCATGTCTGATTCCTTTCCAGGAGACGTCCCCAAACCCTCCATCTGGGCTGACCCAGGCCCCATTGTCACCAACGGGAGCTCTGTGACCATCTGGTGTCAGGGGTCTCTACAGGCTAGTGCCTACGTTCTGTACAAAGAGAGGGGCTCTGAGCCCTGGGAAACAAAAAAACCACAGGAGTCAAGTGGCAAGGCTGGCTTTCTCATTGGAACCACGACCTCATCCCACGCAGGGCAGTACCAGTGTGCATATTACACCATTGGGAACATACTGTCAGAGCAGAGTGACCCCCTGCTCCTGGTGGTGACAGGTAAGGGAGACACCAGGTCCCCTCTTCACTGTGGGCTCCAGGTCACAGGCAGAGGGAATGAAGTGTGGGCTTAGGGAGATCCCACCCCTCACAGTACACACCTGGGGTATGAAGATGACTGTCCCTTTAACACAGACCTTTTCTCCTCCCTCAGGATTCTATGGTGCACCCTCCCTCTCAGCCCAGCCAGGCCCTGTGGTGGCCTCAGGAGAGATTGTGTCTCTCTCCTGTAGCTCACTGTTCACATCAGGCCCTTTCCATCTGTTTAAGGAGGGAGGGGCTGACCCGAACCTACACATGGTGGCAGAACCCAGGAACCATGCTGGGACATGGCAGGCCATCTTCCCTGTGGGCCCCGTGAGGCCCACCCATGGGGGCACCTACAGATGCTATGGTTCTCCCAGCTCCAACCCCAACTTGTGGTCACAGCCCAGTGCCCCTCTGCACATCGAGGTCACAGGTGAGGGACAGGCTCGGGTGCATCCCCAACTGTTTCCTGGGCTCCAAATGACTGTACTTTGTGTTAACTGGGACCCTGGGCTCAAAAGGGGTCAGTGACACTGGCCTCTTGGGGACAGACCCCCAGGCGGGAGGCTTAGGGAGGGACATGGGAGACAGCTATTTGTAAAGTTGAATAAATGCATAGCCCATTTAGAGAATTGCACCTCTAACATTGTAATTTGTGAGTAAGCTGTGTGATTCCTGTAGGTTTTCTAAATCGTAGTAAGTGCTCATAGGAAAGCTGTTGTTCAGACACACTTATATCATGACCTGTGAACCGCCCAAAGACTCTCCCTGTGGGCTGCTTTTCAGTTGATCCTCTGATATAAAATAATAATCCTCAGCAGTCAAAGGGAAAGTCACTTCTTTATTCCCGATGGCATACCTATTTTACTCCCTCCATGTCCCATAGGATGGAATGATGGACAAAATGGGCCATAGCTTCCCCTCCGGAAAACAGCTTCATTCACACGCAAAGTTATGGCAATGCAAATCTATTTACAAATTTGCATTTTATATTAGAAGCACTGTGGCCACTTTGTTCCCATCCCTTCTGTTTCATTAGGGTTTACGAGGAATGGTCTCTTTTCCTGACAGATGCACATCCCTCCATAATTACCTTTTCTCTGACCTTTAACCACATGTCACCCATTACAAAGGCTTCTTGGTGTCACCCATTTGGATATTCACCCAACTGAGTGACGCTGATCGTCCGTGTGCATTTTCTGAATTGTGGAGCTGACATTTTAGGGTTATTGCATGGGTCACTGTAATGAGAAGTCCATAATTTTGTTTATATCTCCAGTTTATATCAAATAGGGTAACAAATTGACAAGATTCCCTAGTTTGGGTGCTCACTCAGTAATGAAATTAGGGGGGTTTTCTCTGTGACTGAAAGTTTGAGCCACAAGTGTGGACATCCTTGGTTATGACCTTTGTTGTGCTGTGAGACAAAGCAAAAGCTCATACCATTATCACCCATATGCTCACATTTCTCATTTGGTGAGTATATCTACACTGTATGTATTCATTTGTATAATTGTAGAATAAATGAGTTAAACCCTAGCTGGTTTGGCTCAGTGGATAGAGTGTAGGCCTATGGACTGAAGGATCCCACTGTCGATTTTGGTCAGGGGCACACACCTGGGTTGGAGGTTCAGTCCTCAATAGGGGCTGTGCAGGGGGAAGCCAATCAATGATTCTCTCTCATCATTCATGTTTCTATCTATCTCTCCCTCTCTGAAATCAATAAAAATATATTTAATGAATAAATAAATGAGTTAATAGAAGAATCAATAGATGAACAATTACAGATGAGGATGGGCCTCAGAGAGAAGGGGCCTGGGTGGGCTGGGGTAAAGGAGACCCAGCCCAGACTTCCACCCCTTCCTGCTCCTGAGATTCAGGAGCCCCTGACACCAATGCCTTCTCCATGGAACCTGGGTCCCCATATGTTGGGAATGGGGGATCTGTCAGGTTTAGGGGAATAAGATCATGAAATTTTGAGTCTCGGGCTGAACACAGAACACACAGCTCTGAGTTATTTCTGAATTGGGACCATTTTCCTCCTCACCCTCAGTTCTTGATAAGAGTTAGTTGTGCACAGCTAACACTTATCAAGGTGACTCAGAGCAGGTGCTGAGTTCAGACATCACAGGGACACTGATGTCAAGGGGAGATGGGAACCACGGTAGACACCAGAACCCTGGAGATTTGGTTCTACCCTAACCTTTGTGGCCTTCGTATCCATATTTTCCAGCCTCCAAACCCCAAGACTACACAGTGGAGAATCTCATCCGGATGGGCATGGCTGGCTTGGTCCTGGTGGTCCTTGGGGTGCTACTATTTCAGGCTCGAAACGACACCAGAATGACTCATCATGCAGCCAAGATGTGAACACAGAGGCAACAACACACTATTCAGAATGGGGCATCCTTGGAGCCTATCTGATGAGCTCAGGAGGTGCTTAAAAACAATGTAAACCATAATTGGGGAAACTGTCACCAATTATGTCCAGGCAAGACTTGGTAGGTGTGGTTTGGGTGCAGGAAAACATGGAAGTTGCCTCCTCCATCCACATGAGGTGCTGTCTCTTGCTCCCTGTGCTCAATGACTCTCCTCCACTGCTCTTCTGTTCTCTCCCGAAAACATGAGGGTCCGTCCCACATGGCTGGTTTGAATTCACATCTATACACCCCTTCATGCTGGGTCACATCCATCCCAAGAAATTGTGGTATCTTCATAACCCCGGGATTGTTTTTAAATCAAAATGAACAAAGTAAAATAAAATAATAAAACCCTGATACCTGCTCCACGTGGTCCAGCCCATTGCACATTTCCACCCCTCCTACCATCTCCATGGGACTTTTTCTTTGTATCGTTACTTGAGAACTTCTGTTGACCTAGATTTCAGTTGGTTCTGAATAATGATTGTTGTGTAGTTTAATTGTGATTTTGCAGTGATCATGGGAGGATTTGAGTACATCCTTTACTTTCCTGACTTTCTTGAGCAGAAGTCACAATAGTTATATGATTAAGAAATTTTGAATTGTTTGCATAATTTTATTTAAGTAATATATAAGGTTTGCTTTTTAAACACTTTCCAGACCTGTTTAAAATTGATTCAGATTTGTTTGTTTTATACATTTATATCAATCAGTTTGGAGGTCACACATGCATTCCCAATAAGAATAGTTCCCACCATTGTTAATATAGTAAATGGGTCTGTGTGCCAATCACCAGCTATAATAACAACCTTCCACCTGGAGTGACAGGATCACTGTGCCTCAGTGTTTCTACCCACGGGTCACTGCTGATGCCAGCTGCAAGAAAGGATCTGTAGCAGACATGGCCACAGGGTCAGGAGATTACTTGAGAAAGTTGTCCAATGAACGTGGATATGAACTTTTGAAAGATCCACCTTTACATAGGCCAATTTCCCCAAAAGGTAGGCTTTGAAAGGATCACTGCCAAAAAAAAAAAAAAAAAAAAAAAAAAAAAAAAAAAAAAAAAAA